GCATATTTGCCCTTTCTACTTGAGCTTGGACGTCCTTCTCTTGCTTTGGACTCCAGTGATCCCGGTTCTCAAGTCTTTGGACTCAAACTAGTACTTAAACCAGAGGCTCCTCTGGTTCTCAGGCCTTGGTTTTTCAGGCTTGGACTAGAACTAACGCCATCTTTCCTGGGTCCCCCACTTGAAGACAGCAAATCACGGGACTTCTTGGCCTCTGTGGTCTCCTGAGCCAATTCCTCATAAAAAATCCTTTCTATATATCTATTCTATTGGTTCTGTTTCTGTGAGGCACCCTAATATACTAATCATTCTGAAATCACCTTAATCTCTTCTATATTGGATCCTCTTTTTCTTGGATTACATATACCTTTTTTGGCTAACTTTTTTTTTTTTTTTTTGAGGCAGATTTTGCTCTGTCGCCTAGGCTGGAGTGCAGTGGCACAATTTCAGCTCACAGCACCTACCGGGTTCAAGTGATTCTCCTGCCTCAGCCTCCCAAGGGGCTGGGATTACAGGTGCCCACCACCACTCCTGGTTAATTTTTGTATTTTTAGTAGAGATGGGGTTTCACGATGTTGGCCAGGCTGGTTTCAAACTCCTGACCTCAAGCGATCCACCTGCCTCAGCCTCCCAAAGTGCTGGGATTACAGGCATGAGCCACTATGCCTGGCCAGCTAACTTTTTTTTTTAAGATGGGGTCTCACTCTGTCACCCATGCTGGAGTGCAGTGGCACAATCATAGCTCACTGCAGCCTCAAACTCCTGGGCTCAGGTGATTCTCCCATCTCAACCTCCTGAGTAGTTGGAACTACAGGTGTGAGCTACTGTACTCGGCTTGGCTAACTTCCTACTATTGATGGAGCACATTTTCTAGTCGCTCTTGAGAAAGTATGTATGGAAGATTAACATTTTTTAGAACTAACAGGTGTAAAATATTTTTTATTATTCCTTCATACCTGATTGATGCTCTGATTGATGTTATGGGGTGAACTGTATCTCTTCTCCTCAATAAAATAAATAAAGTTCTAACTCCCAGAAACTGAAAATGTGACCTTAAGTGGAAATGGGATCATTGATGATATAATTTATTTAGGATAAGGACATACTGGAGTAGGGAGCTTTTATAAGAAGACGGCCAGCCGGGCGTGGTGGCTCAAGCCTGTAATCCCAGCACTTTGGGAGGCTGAGGCGGGTGGATCACGAGGTCAAGAGATCGAGACCATCCTGGTCAACATGGTGAAGCCCCATCTCTACTAAAAATACAAAACAGCTGGGCATGGTGGCACGTGCCTGTAATCCCAGCTACTCAGGAGGCTGAGGCA